CCAGGCCCTTTTATTCTTGAGACAGTCTCACTAAGTTGCCCAAGCTGGCTCAAACCTGCTGTCCTCCTGCCTTGGCTCCCAGTACGCACGATCCTGTTTCACTTCCTTGTTGGTTTCTTTTGATTCGGCAGGTTCTTAATTTTTAATAAAAGCCAATTTATTACTTTTTGATGATTAGCATTTTATGTCCTGTTTAACAAACTTCATACTCCAAAGGTGCTGGTTTTGCTTCTGTTGTGACAGGGTCTTGTGAAGATTTTAAAACTGCCCAAGCTGGGCTCCAACTTTGTCAGCCATACTAATGCACAACCATCTTTATTTATTAAGTTAACTTCTGAAATTTGGTCATTTTACCTTTTATATCTTAGGCCCGTCATTCATCTGGAACTGGAATTAATTTTTCTTTTTTTGCAGAAGCGGGGATTGAACTCAGACCCTTGCGCTTGCCAGGCAAGTGCTTATTCTACTGAGCCATCTCCCCGGCCCCTGGAATTAATTTTTCTATCTGGCCTACAACAAGCCCTGGGGTTCATTTGTTCCCATATATTAGCCAACTTCAATTTATTTTATTTATTTATTTTTTTGGCGGGACTGGGGATTGAACTCAGACCCTTGCGCTTGCCAGGGAAGCACTTATTCCACTGAGCCATCTCCCCGGCCCCCAACTTCAACTTATTAACACACAGTATCTTAAAAAGATTCCTTCAAGACTGGGCATGGTGGTGCATGCCTGTAATCCCTGCTCTTGGGAGGCTGTAAACAGATGGATCACTACGGGTCTGATCTTGTAGTGAGACCCTGAACACCCTGTAGCCCCTTCCCTAAAATACAAAAAAAAGAAAAAAAAAATTCCTTCGAAGAAATTGTGGTCTGACAATAAAAGTGAAAGCACAGAGAGCAAAAAGAGAACAGCAAAGCTATTTCCTTCCTCCTGGGTACAAAGTCTTCCTTTATCCCACTGGAAGACAGAAGCAATGCCAAGTTCATCATATCTGGGAGAGAACTGGCCCAAAAAGGGAGGAATCATCTCAAGACTCTTCATTTATTTTGAATTTTTAGGTTTTGTTTTGTT